CACTTCGGCAAGATTGCCCAGTCGCCGTGGACGCCTTTGATCGGAAAGATCAGGACGTCCCGCGTCATCAGACGCCTCGCGCTTCCCTGCAATAGCCAGGGAAGTAGAAGGGCCATGAGCTGAGCTCAAGCAGCGGCCCTGAGCTCTTGCGGTCGCAGACACAGAGCTCGCTGGAGCGTTAAGGGTTAACCCATACGTCGCAGGGCGACAATCCGAAGGAAGTAGACGGCGTGCCTTGAGTTTGGCAAACTCAAATTGGAGGTGTCGCTCCACACGCTCGTCCACTTCCACACGAGGGTCAATGACCGGCCGTGGATGGGCTCGCCCCGTCGAGGTCATTGGTGATTACACCACGTCCCTCGGTTGTCGAAAAGTCAGGGAACGGACATGGGGTCCGCAAGGCGTGAGCAGGGCTCGGAGCACGCCGCTGGCACAGCTCGCCTTCCTCGTCATCCCATGCGGGAAAAGGAGCGTCAGACTCGTAGTAGACCACCCCCACATCCTCAACGAGGTCAGTGATTGTGTGCGCAAAGCGCGACGCTCATGCTCATCGAGCCTAGGATGTACATTCCCCGGTGCCGCGGACGCACTGTCCGACATTGCATCGCGTGCGGGAGACGGAGTTGGGCTCTGCCCGTGCTCGCTGTCAGAACCAGTGAGACTTGGTGAATGCGGTGTCGTTGACACAGGGCTCATTGAGCACGGAAGTCGTTTTATCCCAACGAATTAAGTTGCAGCCTCTAGTGGACACGCGAGCCTCGTTGAGGCCATAATCGATTGGAGCTGTAAATATTCTCAATCTTAATGGAGGAGATTGTAACGGGGTTACACGTACGCTGGTAACAGGGTGTGTGTCATACGAGATGGGCATGGTGTGACTACACCCAAACAAGAATACGGTATGTGGCTAGATAGCCATGTGGTTAGATTTTACTACACATCTCTAAAAAATCTAAACATTTAAAATTAGGCGGATTTGCCGCAGATAAAAATAAATAAAAATCAGTTTTGAATTTTAGACGAAAAAGTAATTAGCCTTAGGTTAGAGCAATGATTACTCTTAGAGTAAGCGGATTGCGATCTGCTAACTCATACTTGTTCTAAGTATATAACGAAAGGTCGGTTACCTGAATCACGCTTCCTCTAAGCGCAACGCTACGACATCCTCGCTGCAGTCTAAGTTCCACTTATGGTATGAGCGCACAGGTCCAATATCTGTGCCAGTTTACGTTTCAAGGCTACCAGGTTGCGGCGCATTCTCAGAATTAGGTATTTGAGCAGAAAACACTATCTCTATCTAGAGCAGAATCCACGCCTAACGCAACTAATTTTATAAGGAGAGATTTTCTTCAACTTCAACGTCTCATTCATAAGGGAGATTTTCTTCAATTTCAACGGCCTCAAGGCAGGAGTCAGCTGTACGTCTACGAGTGCACTTTTGGTGCAGTCCTGGATATGTCATCCCAGCGCATTCTTGAGCTGGCGTGCGCCTTTTACCGCTTCCAGCCTAGTTCCGTCATTTTTATCAACACCGGCGTTCCGGCCCTTAAAAATATCCACTTCTACACCGAATGTAATCTGAATTTTGTACAATCATTCCGTATGGTAAGTTTTACAACAAGCTCACAGAATTATACGCCTAGGTCTGAATATATGTACTCGTGAAATAACTAGACTCTAGAGGCTCTCGGTTCTGCTTCTGGGTGAGATCAGCTCACGGCTTGATGTCATCAAAACGATATTTAGTATCAGCACGACAAAAGGGAGGAGATCGCCAATTGAGATTTAGGTATTTTTCCAAAATGCACTTCAGTGCCTTTGATTTCATACGGCGCTGTCAGCAGGTACGTTCTGGTCGTGTATTTGATTAGTCAGCTGTTTTTGGTATCATGTTCATTTCGTGATTTACATTCCTTCTTCATATTGAAGTCATAAGTTTGTATTGGTCGTCAATGGATAAAAAGCACAGCAGCTGACAAAACTTTATATTATACCGGGTAGGGATAAAGTCAAGTAGGAAAGAAGGTACGATAGAAATAATCAAGTAGCCTATGCCACAATCTCGCAAAAAATGATTTTTCAGGGCTATAGGTCGAGGAAATATAATCGAAGACTGGAAATGATGGTACGCACATGTTCGGATTTAAATGGTGCAACTCCGTTCCGCCTTGAGCAATTACCACTGTTAAATTATGTTCTCAAATCCAGTTAGTAGAATTCATTTTGAGAGGTAGGAGAACTGAGCGTTTTTGAGCAATTCTTACAATATTCCCGAAACAAATACAACAATAAAAATGAACAAAGCTGAGAACAAAGACGCCCCGCAGAACGAGCAGCCCTCGGCCAGAAGCTTTTCCACTCCCACGCTGTAAGCATTCTCGATATGGATAGGAATTCAAAGCTGTCATATGGGACTTGATGAGTCAAATCTTGCTCATAACAATGCACTGTCCTTAGGGACAAAAATCCGGACCAGACGTTCCGTGCTAGCCGCCTTTCGGGTACACGCTCTGTCGAGGTGGCACTGGCAGAGATTCAGATCATTGAACACAATGTCTACGTTCAGCGTAAAGAGCGCACACTGCCCGAGGTCTGTGCGGGTCAATCATCGTAGCTCGATAGATTGACAGAATGGTATCTAATTCTCAGGATGAAATTTCTGTGTGCTCATGTGTGCCACCAACGAATGAGAATGAGATGAGTTGCCTTGACGACTGTCACAATCGTGCGGTAAATTTGGTTACATACTGATTCGAACGCTATTTCGATAATTATTCAGTATGTATTGTGTGCAATGGCTAAGGCGCTGGTGGAATGCATACCGGGATTTTGCAAGAGTGGGGATCGATGCGACAATATGAGGATACAGCGTGGTGTTATGCCATTAACGCAACTCATCGACTGCGGAAGAAAAGGTCTTGGAACGAAGCTGCTAGAAGATATTAAGGCAGGCTCGTTTGTAGCTGAATACATGGGTGAGATTGTGACGGAACAGGAGTATTATATGCGCCGAGTGGTACGAAGTTATGAATTTGCTATCACGGGCAGCATTTTTTATCGTATAATTGATGTTTCAAGCTTTACCACAATGAAAAGCATCGCTACATGATGGTTTTAAGTGGTGGCGAGGTCATCGATGCTACACGAATGGGTGGGTGGGCCCGCTTCATTAATCACAGTTGCGACCCTAATTGCCGGGTAGAGAAGTGGGAGGTGAATGGCGAAGAGCGTTGTGCCATTTTTGCTCGTCGCGACATCATTGCTGGCGAAGAGCTGACGTTCGACTACAAATTCCAATCTTTTAGCAAAACTGTAAGCTTGAATTATACTAATTCGCTCGAGACGATATTACTGACATCAGTTTTTCTTAGGAAATCACCGAGTGCCTTTGCGGTGCACCAAATTGTCGAAAAGTTATTGGAATGAACAATCAAGTGAGCAAACCGAGCAAAATGCTTCAGAAAGCAGATATGGCAGCACCTATTGGAACCAAAAAGTCGCTTGATCCTGTGATTGGACTCAAATCAAGGCCAGTTCACGGTGCAAAGGTGAATGGTAGATGAAGTGCACTTGTTTTTATCATAACATTATCTAATTGCTGTAGAAGGCAGATGCTCTGATGCAGCGAATGGCACGACAGCGTTTACTGAGCAGCAGTGAAGTCCGTGTGCTGCGACGGTCGCGTATAATTCTGAAGCGCAATTTGACGTGGCACATGGATGATGACTTTGCGCATTTGGCGCTGCTGCCATACTTCGTCACAAAGCCCTCCTCGCAAGTGATAAAACACATGCCGGAGCTTAAATATGTGCCTGACTTTTTCAACTGGAGAGACTTACCGAACTTTCCAAAAAAAGTGCGCGTCATCAGCCGGCAGGCGAAAATCGCTCGATTAAGTGAAATTACCACGTCGCTACAAGCCAAACCAGAAAACCACTAAGTACCATTCCCACATACACGTTTTTACCATCACAGTTTTCCGTGTTGATACTTAAGGCCAGAGCCAAGTCGGCACCCTATTTTGTGCAGTCGCGGTCGATAACGCGAATTGTGGACAGAATGACAACAAGGAGAATTACTTCAGGAACCCTATCGCTTTAAAAATACAGTGTTGCCCTTCCTACGTGAGTGCGTAGCAAAGCACAATCTCCGCACCGCCAAGTACCCACGCTAATGTATCATGTACACAAGCCGATTAATCTGAAGCCACTTTGCGAACGCGTCAATGTTTGCGGGTGCAACTGTCTCAAGATGGGTTCGGTACCGTGCAGCGATCTCACATTAGCAAAACGGTCATTGTGGTGCTTTAAGAGGGGCATTGAAATTGAAGGTTTTGCTCAGTCACGAATAGAACATACGAATGGCATTCTGACATACCTGGCGACATTTATGGGTACAAAAACGAATCTGTTCGCACTTGCAAAATGTTGATTTGGATGAAAGCTTTTGCCTTCGGCCACCAAACTCATTCCATTCATTTTTCTTTCTCTCCTCTCCCATTCATATCCCTCTCCGCTTGGTCCTCTCCCACAAGACTCAGCGACGTCCCGCTGCCAGCCACGGGTGCGTCGTTTTGTATAGCTGGGTGTTTAGATAACGAACGTGTGTTAACAGAAAGCGTACTGTCGGTTGGCAGAGCAATGTACTTTACATGCTGAATTTTGCTGGTGAGGATTGAGCGGGGAGTTTTACAAATAGGATAGAAAGAGAATACATCGAATAATATTGGCTGCCGAACGCTATATCCACACCCCGCTCAAATGTTCTGCGATCGCGGACACATTTAATTACCACGTTGAAGTTGGTTCATTGATCGTACGAATTGGGACTAATCTCGTACAAAGTGGTGCTTGGTCTGACCAAAAGCAGACTATTGTCATCGTTGTCGAAGGTTGGTGTCACTCACTGCCTTCATTTCTTGTACGCATTGGTGTCGCCAGGGATGTCACTTATTTTTTATTGATAAGATGCATCGCTCATGCACGGTTCAGCCTTATCTTGATATTGCGGCTTAGATCGGAACAAGTTTTCGAGGCCAATCAGCATCAGCATCGATAGCAAAGGCGCACAAGGCGTTCAGAGGGACATGTGAACCACATTCATTCTATTCAACTTAGTCTTAACTTCCTATATCGAACAAACTAACAGGTTGACTATGACCTGGACCGCGAGGACAAATCTCCATGTCGGCCACCAAAGTCAAAGCCCCTTCGGGTGATGCGAGCTACTTTCACCGGGAATTTAAGATGCGGATGGCGTTCGCCTGAAAAAGACTGCTAGTGCATGGACAGTTGATTAAGGTCGAACACGAGGTCACGGTGGCGTGGCCTCTTGAACGAGGCCAAGGCAAGGCAATCGCCACCATCTCTTAAGAAATGGATCTTTGGCATTCGACAAAGATACGGTTTCCATCTAGCTCATGCAAATTTAAAATGGTGCGTGAGTCTACAACTGGGCGACTTTGCATAACCGTTTTATCATGACATGACGTCTCCATAATTTAATGACGGAGTACGCGACGAAAATTGTCAAGCACCCGGTCAGCAATAGCAAGCTAAGCTATTCGAGTTTACAGACGCTTGGGTACTGGTCGACGCGGCACGGCAGCCGGTGGTGATGCTAAGCTATCCGCCGATCATTTACGAAGTAGTCGAGTCGACCGTTGAGAGCGCAAAGGATGTTTGCTGATTGCGGTGATGAGAAGCTCATCAAGTAGAAAGAGAGGTTCGAGAAGGAAACCACGAAATGTGATTTTAAGGTATCTGTTGGGCACGGGTAGAAATGATAGCGATTCTAAACATCGTCGGCGGATTCTAGGGTATGAGCTTTAAGTGTACTAAATTTGGGCGCGTGAATTAGGATTGCACGGCCACGGTCGGGGGCAATCGAAACCAAACTGTAGGTTGGCCGAACCGGAGAAGCGGCCTGATACGGAATAGAGAACGCGATCACGACGCAATTTTCGCGGTCGGTGATGACGGGACGGCTGGATGTCTGATCGATAGTGGTACATGATGCCTCACCGGAGAATCCGATTCAACTACTAAGTACTGGGGGCACTGGGATCATGGCAATTTTTGAGACGGCAAGAAGTTGAGGGATGAAGGTTGTGAAACGATAACATTGTCTGGCTTAGACTTAGACAGCCTACGGATCAAGATGATTGAGGTGCTGTTTATTCACTGGTTGGAACTGCGTTTGATGTCGGTAGCGAAGCTCACTGATCGTGACATGAAAGCAGTGTTCCAAAGTACTTCGTGATTGTAGCCGCGTTCGAGTTTAAGGTCGGAGAGGTCTCAATTTGAATTTTAGCAGAAGGAATCACGAAGCTAGAGCCCAAAAATTCAGGTGCATATGTGGGTTACATTGAGAACGTAAAAGGGTATCGCGTACGTGACTTAAACTCATCCAAGGTCAAAGTCTCGCAGTCCGTGAGACTGATCGAGTGAAGGCGAACGGGATGTACGGCTTGCATTCGACAAATCACGAATAAGTCATTCATGTGACGCCTAACGGCTTGTTACAATACAAAGTGGGACGCCTTCCAGTCTACGACACCCGAAGAAAGAAAATGAGGATCCGACCAAAGATGTTCAATGGACGAGGTCAGACCTTGTTTGAAGCGCATTAGTGCAGCAGCGGAGATATTGAGATTAAGCGGGTTGAAGTTGGCAACCTCTCGGTTAGATTTGACGAAAAGCGCATTATTAGCTACAAAATTTTTGATTGGAGCAGTGATCGGCGTCAACCAGAACAAACAGACATTGATAGATGAACGAACTCGACATATCGACGACATGGTGGAAAGGTTTGGTCCACAACGGCTGACAATCCGTGTATATCAAAGCTTGAGCTCTCCAAACTGCAGTCACCGGAAACTGTTGCAGAACGAGACGAGATGCATACCAAATAGCCCTGATCTTTAATTGGTTATTTGGCGTATGTCACGACTTGTACGGGACCAAACATCGAGTTGGTGGTAATGCATCTCTCTGATTTTTTTCGAAATAGTACAACACTGGAAGACTGCAGTTCGTGTTCTCCGATGTTTGGGACAACGGGAGATGAGGGAGTTCGTGAAAATACTGGTGGCTGTATGATCCTAGCCTACACGAATCCAGAGTTAAAAAGCAGTTTTGACGACAGGCGTTTTGCGTCGGAAGCCATGGTGATGTTGGGAACGAAGCGGTAGTCGTCTTGCTCATGTAACAGAGACCGGTTGCCCTCAGATGGGAGGTGGGCTGAAGACGAATACATGGTTCTAAGTTTGTGCACTCAGCAACTACTTTGGGCGCAATTGCTTTTCTGCGATCTTGGCTGGGAGCAGTGAGAGCCACGCAGATATGAAGGAGCACTCGCACTAGCAAGCAACGCCAGTTACCATGCAGTAATATTGAAATAATATTACGCAGGAGAACGTTAAACGAGTATCGGTTAATGTCCACCACTTCGGTATCAGGTAGCTCGCAACCAAGGAGCTAACCATGGGGGCTCTCAAGCATCTGTCGAAAAACAGCTGCATCAGGAAAAATCACGGTGCCTTAGCGGTGAGTGGAATTATTGAAGTGCACTGCTCATGCAAGGACCAGCCACATATTGTTACCGCAAGTTAGATCGGATTCGGTCTTTGTTTATTCAATGGGCATGGACGGCGAAGACGCATGAAACCAAGGAGGACACCACTGAGTAGACGCTAATGAAGATATGTGAGTCACATTGTTTGTGCTTCTTCAATTTCACCAGCCACAATTCAAGAATCAATTCAATAGATTTTCATCTTCCTCGCAATAAAGGATTCGCAATTGCCTTAGGCCCGGTCTGCTGACGGTGCGCATGATGTATGGTCGTGGTGGGAGTCATACCTCGAGGAGGAGAGCGTAGCTAAAACGCTCATTCTCGATGCCTTTTTACGATTATGAGGAGTGAAGATGATGATGCACCAGTATAGACTATATTAACAAGATCAATACACTTTGAAGTACGAGATAAAAGACCTGCATGCAGACCTCGTTTGTGATGTGCTAGTAAGCTGTTGTAGAGCTCCAACAAATGACGCAACCGATACCGTATGTGTTCAGCAAAACATTCAAAAGGCACTGATTCTTTATCTAACAGATAGGTGAGTCCAGTAACCGGTGTGCTGATGATGACTTTTATCAACAGTGATATGTAATGAACCGAAACGAGGTATACATGATGATGTTTCTGGTGCAACCTATCGCATAGCAAAATGGGCTTTATGTATTCAACTGTGTATGATCAATGGTTCAAAAGGTGGGAAATGGTTCAAAGAAAATCTGGCACCTACTTTCCGGTCGACAACTTTAGTTTTTGTACGTAAATTGGCGAACATTAATCGCGCTATGTCAGAGCTGATCGTGGACGTTAATTTAACGCACCATTCGTAACTCAAAGTCGAAGAATAAACAAGTACATATAAAACACGGGCATGAAACATGATGTTGAACCCGGGACTTGAACTTGAAGCTGCCCAGAGAAAGGTTTCTATCCTTTCGCATTAACGTAATGAGAAAACAGAAAAAAGAGAACCTACACACAATAACAAAGCACCTCACCTGCGAATATTAGAAGCAGCTCATATACGTATAAACACGCGATTCAAACAAGCACATCATCAACATCAAACAAGGAATATATTTCAAATAGATTTGATTTATTTGAAAGGGGTATAACATAAATAAGTAATTACTTTATTCGTTTTGAGAGGGGTGGGTACACTGAAATATATTGTAAGGTTTGTACAAGAAGCATGATGTTTTCACACCGATATTCGGTCTTGGTAGAAATCACTTGTTCAGTCAGTCTGTTTGTATGTAATTTAATGATTAGTCATGCATAGCTGAAAGGTTTTTGTTCAGGTGGATGCAATTTTAAATGGCTAAGTGTCTCCCATTTGAGAATCCAGGAAATCGATATTCATTGTTCTTGCAGTCAGTTCAGTTCATGATTTAAAGTATTAAGATGGTGCGGATTCTATTGTTAACACTGATTTATGTCAATGAGCGCTTAGAAATAATTGCCTTGAGCACAGCAGCGATTTTCTTTTGCCAAAATTTGAGCTAGGGCGGTTTTATAAATAAATAGTTTCTACTAATCATACATTGAAATATTAATACGATTTGATTGGCTAATAGTATGTATATCTCATGCACCGCCAAAGTTGAGCGTCATTTCACGCGCACCCGCCGTCGGCAATTCAGTGACTGCTGACACCCGTCGGAACGTGAGGTGCCATAAAGCACTGTGGCCTCAATCGGACCCAAGGTTCTCTATTAAAAAAAGTTGCGCCCAATCTTGTTCGTAGATATTTTCCTCTCACCAGAAAAGCGTCTGAATTTTACCACGATGGTAGGATGCCAACTCGATTCAAGTCCAGAAATGGGCATAATGTGGTTTAAGGGGAGATGTGACTCTCACACATACTGTAAATGTCAGCCCAGTGCTGCAGAGATGCGTGAATTTCACAAGGTGTGTTAGCTGTACTAGATGAAAAGACTTCGAGACTAAAGTGCTGTGTTTGTGCTTTTTTGAAGCGATGGTTGCTGCTGACGGACCAGGAGCGCATTGAGGCCCTCAAAGGAAATGCGAACCAGCTGTTGCAAACGGCCCGCGATCTGCTGTCGTGTCCAGGTTGCCGGAATGGGACTGAAGCGCTATTTTACAAGATGGTAGACGGCAATGTTCGAATTCCGCCACTAATTAGTCAATCTGGCCTGTGTTTTAGCAAGGACCAATGCTTTCAATTGAACGACTCGTATATGAACAGCCCTGATACCTCGTTCTCTCTATTCCACCATCAGAAGCAATGGGTGAACTCGGCGCTGGTTAAACCAAACAGAACTCAAAGCAAATCAGGCACGTCACGCGCCAGGTGCCAGCTGCACTCACAACGAGAGCGTGGTCACCCCCGTCCTGCTGCATTTGTTGCGCTTTGGCACAAACTTTCAGAGGACCACCAGCGGCACCTCTCTCATATCGACTCGGACCAATTTTTGACTGATTTGGAGAGTTATTTGCGTCGCCATCGATTTTGTTGCCGCTGCAAAGAGAAGGTCTTAGAGGCCTATGATTTGCTGATCGGTACGAGCTGTAGTGAAGATGACTGCGAGGATTGCGGAGTATTTGAGTGCTCGGAGAGGCATCACGAACATTGTGATTATACTGATGAGTTGAACTACACATCGTATTTGTTTGATGAGCTTGCATTTTCGAGTGCTACAAATCAAATTATTGTGCCTTGTAGTATAAAGTTTATGTCACAGCTGATGTCACGGGCAGATCAGGAACTTGTCGGTGACTGGGGTGATCGCCATGCACGAACAATAACCGAGGCACAAGATGAAGTTCTCGTATGCTTAGGCATGGTCATTTGGGACAAGATACAAAGCCTGTGGACCAAGCTACAGTCAGATAAACTTTCCGAGGAATTACTGGCTCATTGTGCAGTCTTAACGCTGCGTCGCAACTTTGATGTGGCTGTTGAGGCGCTGCATGGTGAGGAGATGATCGAGCAACTGTTGGCAGAGGAGGAGGATGAATCAAAGAGGCTCGAGAAAAAGAAGGAAAAGCGGAAAGAGAAGAAGAAAAAGCGCAAGACGGCATCGAAACAGAAGCAAATGGATCAGTCTGAGTCCGACAAGAGGCTGCAGACAGCTTCACTTCAATCTTTGATGAAAAACCGCAAACAGTCAAGTAGCGGCACGACTATGACGTCTCAATCTTCTACCAATTCTTTAAGTAGCCAGGGGGAGGAAGACGAGCGGAGCATTTCCAGAAAATCCATTGATCTTACTAGGCTGCATCAGTTTGACCAGACATGTGATAAACGATTTGTGCAAGGTAATCTCATGCACGATGAGCGTTTGGAATGGCAACTGTTATCGTCGATGGGGTGGAATGCATCTGATCCATCATCTTCTTTCTCGCCGGAGCATGGTGTGGACACAGACGACGAAAATTACGGCATTTCCGAAGATGATATTCGCTTTTGGAAGCAGAATCAATCGAGTCTTGTTCGGCGACGCATGGCCCAGCGGCAAAAGGTGCAGGAGCGTTTTAATCAATTTGTATTGCGCACAACATCATTAAATGCGTAAATTACGCTCGCTTAATAGTACTTTACAGGCTTGAAACGGTAGCTGGAGGAATTTTAATGTGCTCTAAAAAAAACAGAATGTATGCCGCACAGTCATCATCTCGCCTAATATTGCTACCTTATTTGCAGAAATGCATCTGCAAAATACAGTCACATATTTGTATATTAAAGCTCTATCTTGTTGACCTCAGCTTCCAGGGATGAAATAGCTCGGTCAACTACAGCTTTGTGGTTTGTGCATGTAATAAGAACATTTGTGATAACATGTCGATTCTTGTCGAGGAGTGCGTGATAGGCCTCCGTCATTTCGACAGACCTATGAAACAACACAAAGATTAAACTAAGGAGCCACAATAAATTACGATCAGCTTACGCTTTTCGCATTTCTTGCAGACGTTGACGGCTTAAGGCCTCCTCTTCGGCGAGATTGTCCTCATTAGCTATATTTGTGATAGTTTTTTCAATTTCTTCAATTGCTGCCGTCTTCCGCCGAAGATTTTCCGCCTGCTTTTCCCGCTGTTTTGGCATTTGTTCAACGTACTTTTTCACCTTCGATTCTTGCTTCTTCTCATTTTGTATCTCGTTGTTCAGCTCAATTTCACATTGCTGCAATTTATTATCTAAAACAAGCGCCTTGTCCAACCCGGCATTCGCACACGCGATACGATTCTGCTTCAAAGCCAGTGCTGCTTGGCGAACTTCTGTTTTTAAGTAATGCGTCAGCTTTTGAATCGCGTCAAGCTCTTGAAGATTTGGATCGATCTCGAGCACAAAGTCAAACTTCAATGAATACTTGGCAGCAATGGGAATGATCTTGAGTTGTTTGCAAGTATTCATATACTTGTATATCTGTGCGTCAAGCTACTTAATGGTAATTAGAATCATATGCTGATCTGATAACACAAATTTGAAAAAATTCAGTATCGTACATCGTCTCGAATCTCTGCAGCACGGTTTTCATCATTCTTGATCCGCCTTTGAAAGTCTTCTTGACGAGCAAGTACTTGATGAAGCTGCTCAGTTAGTCTCGCTCTTTCTTGTCCAATTTGCTCTATGTCGTGTGCAGACAATTCTTGGTTGTCAATACGGGTCTGAAGTCGTTGTATCTCAGATTGGCGGCTAGCGAATTCTTCATCTGTAAATAATAACCACTGTAAGTTTAGACCTTCATACATAAACATCGAATTCAAGCAAATTATCATTCGTACAAAATGATTGCTTGACTTGAGCAAGGGACTCCATCTTCTTCTCAAGCTTGAACTTTGCCTTCTCGTAGCCTTGTACGATTTTTCGAAATTTGTACAGGTCGCTCTCGCAGTCACTTTTTTTTGATTGAAGCACGGATAATGCATTCTACCAGCGCACGCAATACAGACATATGAATAAAGTTTCGAGTGATAAGGAAATCGACAAGAAGCAAAAATGATCAACCTTATCCCTCTTAGCTTTATCGATACGCTTTTTAAACTCTTCACGCTGCAGCTCTAGCTCGTTTATCTCCTCTCGAACCACCTCGTTTCGTGCGACTGCAACACGCAACAATCAAAGTCAGCGCTTTGTCAACTTCTTTGGGCTATGAAAAGAAATTTTGTCGGACTCAATTTTTCTCTCTCTTGCTTTTCCAGTATATCGAACCTGTCGTCCTCGCCCGCCAAAAAAGCGTGGTAGGAGGCACTTAAATATCTGAAAAAAGGTTTGTCGCCATTTTCTTCATCATTTTCGTCATTTTGGTCCGTCTCGTTTGCTTGCTGGATCGCTTCATCATACTAGCATGTTATTAGTGCAAAGATGATACGAGTGCTGACAATATCAATACTCTAGCTGGTGCGTACACTGAGCAGCTCAATAAGCCAAGAAATAGAAAGCAGCAGCGTCGGCCACGTGTGAGGCGTTCCAACGGCCGACAATGACGTTTTACTGATATGGATAGGATAGCGAAGGTTTCGGAACTGATGCACAACATCCTCCTCGAATTTAATGCCAAACTCAAAAGTAGGATCGACCAATTTGAACAAGAACAAAATCATGTTATAAAAATCCTTTTTGGATGGACCACGTCGCAGCAGCGCTGGCGGAAGTGTTTGGTCGTACATATGCTCGCTCAGAAATTCCACGAGTGTTTGTACGCAGCTGTTAAGGTATGAACGGTCGTTAACTGGTCGCGGATCCAGCACGCGGGCACCACCACGACCAGAAACTGAGGTGCGCGAGCTGTACGAGCTATTGCGACGATTAGTACTTACAGATTGACGCGATTTTACAGAAGCCCGAGGGCCAATAGGGGGGCGTCGCCCTGTGAGCCCAGTAGCAGTGGAAATGCGACGAGATGCAACACCAATGGACTGGCGATCAAACGCTGTAGCAGTCTTGCTCGGTACAGAAACACGCGTGGAAGGATGGCGTAAGACAGATGAACGCGAGTTGAGCTGCGAGGACGACACAGGTCCTAGTGTCGTGCGGCGCATTGTCTTTATGCAATGGTTTTTATGTGCACCAGTCTAGTACCAGTATGTGTATAGTTTTTATCTCGACAAATGAAGAATTATAAGGGGCAAAGTTTGTTTTGGAATATTTTTCAATTACGGGTAAGCTAAATTACAAAATCCAACAAGAGCAATAATCAATGAAGCTACCTACTATTGCAACAATGTGGTGTGTCAATCGTACGTCTACGGCCTAACTAGACAGAAGCTAACTTATAAAATGAATAAAGAGCTGCACGATTGGCTAAGTTGCAGTGCTGTGCACACGTATCAGAGAGTAAAAGACCAGATCCTAATTTGAGTGATTGTTCTTGAGGTGGAGACTCTTATCCAAACATAAATAAAATGGCTTCGAATTTTGGGTATATATGCAAACAGTTATCGTAAAGCAGAAGTCACTTTACTTAGTGTCTGTCAGTGAAAATTTCATGGGCATTGGCTAATTAAGCTTGAAGAAACGGGTCAGAAAAATTGAGGTGTGTCAACTTCACTGTATTGCAGATAATATCCAACGCATTTAAGTTGAAAATAGTCTCATCAAAAACCAACGCTTTGCCGCGGCTTGCTTACTTTTGCAGTATACGCGCACCTTCGTATAACTGACTGCTGCAGAGCGAGCTACGAGCCACCTTCCCTGCTCATCGGAGCTCGAGTTGATTAATGTGATAGCTTTTGCAGGTCACGTCCCTACTTGCGCAAAATTGCCAACACATATGACGTGGCGACACGAGCTCCCTCTATCATGCGTGCTGTTGTTCGATTAAGAATGCGTCATAAAGCTAATTTAGGTTTTTGGAACACAACATTGCGTCACGCGTCCATTGCCCTTACTAAGAGAGCCCTGTGTTGTTTAATAAGCTTTTCCGCGCGAAGCACGAACCGGCGACTTCTTTCTGTTTCGGACAAGCTCACGGGAGGTGAATAGTAGACCATGGCTATATAGCATAGTCGGCTGTAGTGGATGATTGATGCCTACTGCGCATGAGCTGGATGTGAACATCTACATCAAACAATTGCGAGTAGTGCTCGAGTGTTTGAGTTTTCTGCTCTCATCGGTAAGTGTGTATTGCAGCGGGGCTGCCGTAGCGTTGCGCTAAGAGGAAGCATAATTCAGGTCACCGACCTTTCGTTCTATACTTAGAACAAGTATGAGCTAGCAGATCGCAATCCGCTTACTCCAAGAGTAATTATCATCTTAATTCAAGGCTAGTTACTCTTTCGTTTAAAATCCAAAACTGATTTTTATTTATTTTTATCTGCGGCAAAGCCGCCTAATTTCAAATCTTTAGATTTTCCAAAATATATACAGTTAAATCTAAATACGTGCAGAACTACTGGCTACCTAGCCACATACCGGATTCCTGTTTGGTGCAGTCACACCATGCCCATCTCGTGTGACACACACACCTTTTACCAGGGTACGTGTAACCCGGTATTTGGTACCGATAATATCCAGATAAAAAGCTTTTTCATTGAGAAATAGACTTGCAGAAAGATTCCACAAAGATCATGGTCATCGGATAGTGATATGTGCCTCTATTCAAACGGATATAAGAAAGGGTAATAGCTTACCCAAATACTCACAAGTATAGTGCAGATTATACCGATATAGCACAGTCTCTCACCGATTTTGGTGATAAGGATCTCAAATGGTACAAGCCGCTGGTAAAAGAGGCAAAATTGAAGTCTAAGAGAAAAAAATCTGGCGCTCCGATCCTGCTATCTGATCTTTGAATCGGACATTTTATGTCGTCCGTGAAGCTTCAGTCGTTGACATTGACAGTGTCTTACTTTAAGCAGAGGCTAATCGGTATGAACGCATGAGAGCATTTGAGACTTACCAGTTTGCAGAAGAGAAAAAATTCCTAATGGCAAGGAGCTATGTGCAACGAAGTATGTATACAGGATGTAGCTGCTCGAATCTAGGCTGTTTGTGATTTATACTGATCATGCTTCGCTGTGCACAGAGACGTCGCCGCAACGTATATCACATTGAAGGGCAAGATGATTCTTTTTTATCGAATATACATTAGAAGATGCAAAAGTCTAATGTGATAGCAAATGCGCGTTCACGTCGCCCCTATTATGAATAATCGCATGCCCTGACGGTGACGCTATGACTTGACGATGTGACGCACAGCGTATGGGTCAGAGGCAATATGTGCTGTGTTGCTGATAGCTTTGAAGAGCAAGAGATTTGGAGCTTAGATGCCGCTGCTCGATTGCTCAATTGCACGTCTGCACCGCTATTCCAAATTTCAGGGCTTGCTGTGTTACAGCACTGACTCAAGTGAAAATTAATTTGGAGTGGTGCCTTATGACAAGAATCTTAGTACAGAATACTATACGAGGGACGTGAAACCCTTCTGGATAATCCGTTTGAATTAGATAAAACACACGGCTCAGAGAGCTTTATGTATGAGTGACCTAACATTTATAAGAGAGGCAACACAATGCGCGCACGTGTGAAACGTCTTACCGGGTTAACCCTCTATCAATACCGTTAGCCAGTCTGCCGTTTCTGGGATCCGACAGAGTGTTCCAGCTTATAAGTATGCCCTTCTTTTCGGTTTCCAAAAGATTTGTACGGCAGTACAGCAGCACGGCTTTTGTGAACCGTCTGAGCATGATGCTAATTGCGCTGCTGGTCAGCGATCTAGTAACCAGTGAGTATACATTCAAGCTGCACAGCAACACATTTTTTGCTTTGTTTGACGGTAGGATTGCACTATATATAGTCCTCACTTCATTGCGGAAACTTTGCGAATGTTGTACAAGATGCTTGACGTCAAATTATACATGTAAACCGACGGTCATTTGCAAGAAAATGGTCGGACGATATGCATAAATGGCATGATGAGGTGCAAATCCGACAGACTTACGTGACAGAGGACGAAAAGGTGATGCTATATGCTCCCACTCGTTGCCTTGTGCTAAATAATGCAGTGATTCCATCGACAAACATTACTACACTATTTTGAAACGAAATAGTTAGTTCCAGGTTCCTTTGGTACCGTCAAATAGTGAATCTTTATTGATGGGGACAATTACTGGTACAATTTTACAACAACGGCAATGTTTGTAGTGAAATCGAAAACTTCATCTCAATAAATTTGAAATAGAAAGCCTCGGGTGCGCAACGCTACAACTGAGCGTCAGGATGCTCAGACACAGCACGCCGACGTCATCGACAGGCGAAACACATCGTGGAATGTAAAAGGTTTACCTACTTACATCTGCGATGTCTGCAGTCTATATGAAGTTGCGACCACGATAATGTCGTAGCAAAAAAAAAAGGATTTACTATTTGTATCATAACGGAAATGAGAGTACAATCTGCGTCCTGCCTGAGCCTAGAGGGTCCATATCACGGACGTACAACGCCGCAATGACGATTAAGTCGGATGTGAAAACCCCTGTTGTGCAGATTGCCTTACCTCGTGTATACTGTTTAACTGGACCGTTCTCGGTTCTAGAAACGTGGCACGGAGTACTCTTTGCAATTGTATAGCTCAGTGAGATCATTTAAAATGTGACTCATTTCACTTTTGGCCGTTCGCTGAAGTTTTTCGTGCGACTCGACGTGACACTACCATGGAAAGGAACAAAAGCCAGGTAATTTCTGGATCGGCACTGCTTGATGAGCAAGAGATAAGTCAGCTCCGCATGAAGTGGTTAGTGCGTTGGCTAGCTTATAGGATCGTTACTAGTATGTGGTGTAGCAAAAAGAGTTCAATCATTCCGAAAGCTCATGGGACGTGAAGTATCACTACAGCAAGTGTGACTTGACGCCGTTGTCTCACCTTTACCCCCGTTTAAAAAAGTTCTTGCCGCTTATCATAGCGCGCATATACCGGTGAGTAAGAGATGACCTTATTGTAGGTTGTTTCTAAGTTGTTAGCTGTGAGTGATTCCATTGAGACAAGCGTTGCTGATATCAGCAAGAGCAGAAGACGAAGAGTTTCCACCTCGAAGCCCGCGTGCTTTTGTACTTCTCACAGTCAAGCATTGCACGTCGCTCTTGTCGGACGCTTGATAATTTGCAATTGACTTGCAAAGCTGTAAAGCGGGTAAGGTTATGCGTTTTGCCCACCTCATGCGCGGGTTGGGTGCGATATTCTCGACACAACGCCAGTATCCATTAACGGAGAGTATGGATTATCCCAACCACGGTCGCTTTGAGCATGGTAAGTGCTGCCTCAAGCACAGCAACTGCTGTTTTCTACGATGGTGAAAATCCCCTCGAGTTGTCACCAAATAGATTATGAGGCAACGATGGAAAACGTTTGGTTGCGGTGCTTGTTTCATTCAATCTTGAGCACAATCTTTCGCGCACATAGGCTTGTGAGGATTTGCTTGAGCACGACGAACAACATTAGACGTTTCAAGCCACAAACACGACGTGATGAGATCGTAATCAGTCGTTGTGACTCTGGACCTCCGTCATTCAGTTCAGGCTCCTAAATGACGAGCTGGACGACTTGCGGTGTGGTAGCGCAACACTTCACGGCGTAAGAGACAGGCATAAGGTGTGTATTTCGTATAGAATCAAGACAGAGCGCAGAGAACGCCTCACCAAATACGAGGCATTTATTATTGGAGAGTCAATTTGAGCATTTTATCGGAGTATCCATCGAGTATGGCTCAAAATTCGTCGGTCAAAAACCCACACCCTATTTAGGGGCTCGCCGTCTAATGTGATTGTCCATACGGTAAGAATTTTCATGCGACGATGCTTTAAGGTGCAGCCACTGTAGGATACAGGAAGTGGGTGTAACTTTTAAGCGCAGTGAGTGGTATGTAAGATACGTATGACATTCGTGTTTTAATCTTTTACATTTGTGCAAATTCTGGATCCATAATTTGAAGTTGCCCATGGTAACAGCTCGTAGCAGAGACGATTGGCACATGGTCGCGTTTTCGTTTTCCAGTCTGATTTAATTTAGAAATTGTTGGGTGTAAAAATGGAAAGCGTGAACACCTGAATTTGTTGTATCCTGGTTACGACTATTTGACAAGCTGCATGCCGCTTATGTACCGTGTTCCATGAGTTCCACCAGCGCTTGCAGTTTTTATCTGGTTAGAAGGGCGCAAACTTAACGAGTATAGGAGCGAAATACGTGTTTCGACAACAAATTCGGATAAAAGCCTTCTATCTGAGCATATCAGGACAATGATATGGATAAATTAACCTTAGTTTAGGGTCGGGTCACACCGAGTGCGGGTCTTGGTGATGGGGATGCAAACAGATTATGACCAGGGAATGTAAAGCGACATACAGGCTTGTACTCACGGATGGGACACGCCACCTCAAAAGTGCACAGAGCAGCAGTTTTATCAGCTGCATCTAATCCAACATTATGAACTCAAGTGTGGCCAATCAGAGATGGATATAATGTTATGACTACGGCAAGTCAATACACCTGATAGGAGCCTACACTGCTAGTAACAGGAGTGGCGACGACTGTCCTCGGCTCTTAACTAGGGATTTGCGGGGTCAAGGGCAGAAACCACGACCACAAATTCAAAAGAGTACGTATCATTAGCAGGAATGTGACAATGGCACTGAGTTCTCAGAGGTGTGGGAGGGTGTCACACATCATGGAAAGTTAGCCCCTGGGGAGCCTAGTTTCGTTTGCCGATGTTATGAGCCGCAGAAGACTCCTCGTGATGAACGCAAATGCGCGAGGGGACAAAGACGTCATGAGTGTCTGGTTAGACTCCGGCATATTCAGGAACCTTGTGTGCATCTAGATGGTCGCAAATTTTTGCGACAGCTTGCCAATATTTCTACGAGGGATCAAAGGGGTTTGCCAGTCCCGATGAGACTGGCTGACGATACTTAGATTCGAAATCGATTAAAAAGAGCTGTTCTTTGTTCCGGACATGGACAAGTACGGTATTATACTGGGCTTGTATGGATTAAAACTATAGACCTCGGGAATACTACCGCAGCATTTTATATGTACCAGCTCTCACTCAGGCTCGGACAGAGCTTGAAAGAGTCCCATTTCCACCTTTGTCTGAGGTCAAAGTACCCAAAGGGGCATTACTATCATGTTCATGTCACGATGTGCAAGTATGTATCCCATACATAGAGCGGCTTTCCGCCTTTTCAGCAGATACAGTTTATCTGATTTTTGTGCCGGGTCGTTCTTGACGACTACAAGTAAAGATTGAGTATATATAGAGAGAAAGCGCTATTTGTACCATCCGAAGCAATTTCGGTCTGTGGGACCGTTCATGAAGTAACATGACCTGCGGCAAGGTGTAGCATTTTTTCGCCCAACAATGGACTTTTTTCTTGTCTTTTTCTCGTTGAGAGAGCTTTGTGACCTTCTCGCGGAGGTATTGGTTTACAACTGATTCAGGGTTGGTGTCGCTTACGATTAAATCACCAATTTAATTCTGATGTCTTAACGCCTTGCCAGATCAGATCACTCAGACCGGTGTTGCAATACATAGCACGACGAATCTTCTTGAATATGCAGATACATAATGGGAAGAAAAAGCTTTTGCCCAGATTCATTGGACTATTTAAAGCGTTTGATGGCAAAGCGTTTGCTTACAACCTAACCATCCCTACAGCATGAGCCTACATCCTACATTTTATGTAGGTAGGATAAAAACGTTACTTTAGGGTGATTCTATCGAGCCATCTATACCCTTGATAGATGATCGAGCTGTTCATGAATCCTCTCCACTTGACCGCAAAGATCAACCAACACTTCCACCTGGAGAGTATTCATGGTATATAAGAGTTGAGGGATACTGAAAGCGCAAGCTCCCATATGACGAATGACATTTGCGATTTTGTCGAGTATCGGGATTTGACGACCTCCAATAATATAAATATAGCCTGATTCCAACGCTTGAAGGCGAAAATGGCACTCACCACGAAGTATCTTGGGAACAGAGACTGCCTATCCAACAGAGCCCAACATGTGTTTGTGATCCAGCTCACGAAACTTCATGTTCTTCTTGAGCCGAACGAGTTATCATAAACCTGCTGAAACAATAGTTCATAGCGGGGCTTTAAAGCCGAGCACTGGACAGAACGTCGAATTCTAACTTCTGCTCTCCAACAAGGTTCGAATATCGCTGCAATTCTTAAACGTCGAGCAACGCTTTTACAATGCCTGGAACTGCCCGCGATGATTACCCCTAGACCTCCAGAATAGCTCAATAACTTCCGACCCCACCCCCGCTATTAGACTCTCGTGGAGAGCGTCGTTGGATAATTGCGACGATTGTCGATCACAAAGATCGATCGACGTCATCGTGGAACGAAGCATTTGAGCCATCATCTCTTCTACAGAGTTAAGTGGCGCGACGGTCTATCGTTTGCCGACATGTGCAAATATCGTCAGACTCTAGAGACTGATCTCCCCAACGTGGTCCGCATCTACGAAAACTGTTCGTAGTGTTACGGGAGGCAATAATGTGTATACCGAAGGTAGGTTCTGCTTGCTCGTGATTGGGATTTTTGCCAACACCGCCTGGCGACGCAGAAGCTCCATCTTGTTCTCGTTCTCACGGCAAACAAACGTTCGCCAAGTGTCCAGCTTAGCTGCGATGAGCTGGGTCGGAATATCACGATTGTTGATCCGACGCCAGCGAAAGAATCGATCAACTTAGAGCTTCTTGTCTCCATCTTGGTTGGAAAGAGGGGTGAAGGCGAAGAATTCTAGAATCGTTCATCGACGAAGAGCGCTCTTCAAATTTGGCTTGTTCTCTTGAGCACTTCATCGCTGATCAGAAATGAACAGCTGTAAACGGTCTGCACAAGTATCAAAGTGCTTCTGACATTAAGAAGGGGATGATGAAATGGGCTACATCCAGCCAATACATAAAGGTTAATCGTTGCACCTTTTGCTTGCATTGCGTAAGTTTATCAAAAGAGATTACAGTATGGTGTCCCTGTATGCAAATGTGACATCTTTCTATAGTCAGAAACATTTTGTGTGATACAGAATATTTGTGCCTGCTTGGGAACTCGTACTGGTGATGAGACTAACGTGTCTCTGTTTGTCATAGTTGTTGGCGTAAACCGCTCACTTCTAGTGGAAGCTCACAAAGAAATTTTGTAAGTTTTAGCTGAGGATCATCCTCAGTACACCCTTGATTGTATTAATCAGGATCATAGGAAGCCAAGGGGATCATTCATAAAATCTCCTGAAGCCCTTGAAATGTTTAGCTCTAGAAACCATTTACCTAGTTTAATCCAGCTGCAAATTAGCCATCAAGCCTTTAACTCGTTCTTCGTCTCTTCTGTCCTACTCCCTCCACGTCAGTAATCGCTTCTTTAAGGTCTATTGTGAACAATGCCCTCTTTTAATACCATAGTTAGTGTGACGCAAATACTACGTTTCTTTGGTACAGATATACGGGCACACTGCATCAAAGTCATCTTAATGGCCAAACGTCGAGAGTGTGGGTCAAACATTGGCCAATATTAAAAAGTATGATTATTTTTATATTATGTTGACATAAGCTGTCACGATAACGAAGAACACGACGCGCACGACGCTTCTGAATGTAGCGGCTTTGTGCATCGAATTGTACAGCTACGCGGTGCAATCAGTTCCAGTACTATTATTGCGTTTCGGATAAGTTTTATGGTGTAACGTGCAGAATTTTATGATAATTTTTGTGTGCAGTCTAGGGTATCCGCTAAAGTCAAGAATTTGTACAATGAACTTCGTGACGAATACTATACTGTCAGAGCTTCAAACTCTGACTATCTTTCATTCATACTCAAATCAATATACTACTTATCAAGCTTCACCCCTTCAAAAGCAAACCATGAAATTTTTGCTAATATCATTTTTTTACCTTTTATCTGTCTCACATGTATTTTCATTATCACACATACGGATCAGAAGATGAGGACTACGCCATTCTAGAACTCATGACAAGAAAATTATCTTTTTTTATTGAAGACATTCTTAAAAACTACTATATTTTTTTTGCTTTTGAAGTTAAGAGGTGTACTATTTTAGAAAACAATATTTGCTTGATATGATTTCGATATTGAGGTTCTGGATCGGTAAGTACTGCTAATACACAAAATTCTTTTAATTTAATGGAATATTATGATAACGCAAACTCAGTGCCTTATATTTCATAACCTTGATTTTTATTCAGGACTAAGTAAGCCATTACGCGCAATCAAAGGACAGTAAAATGTGATACTCAGCCATACGCTGCACACAATTTAAAAATGTGTTTGGTCTTTATAGCTTAAAAAAGTAAATTAAATGTAATCGTCGTATACACACACCAACGTGAATGTCTGTGGGATGAGAGCGAGCGATAGCGCGGATCCATGTCCGCGACTTATTTTGCATACCACGCGCATACATCATTCTTTATCAAAACGTCGCAGTGAAAAATGAAGAATTTCACGGTTAGTCTACAGTAACACGGATCGTGACGACTCGGGGGAAGTGCTCAACGAAGTATTTCTTCGCAGCGACAAAAATATTAGAATATTTTTGTCGCTAATGTGTCTGGCTGCAACGGTGCGTATCAGATGGCTTCAATATAATAGTGCGTTGGTTTTAAAAATCTTTACAATGTGAATGCAGTGGATGGAGTATAAGGCTTATGCAAGCAGCATAAAACACAATTTTAATCTTGAACTTGCATTTACGAACTGCCCACAAAAGCAACTAACAATGATATGCAAGACAAGCTAAGCTGTGTAGTTGAGCGAGCTAAAACAACACGTAGCACGGTCGGAACTTACCTCTGCAACTGGAGTAGCGCTTAGCTAGTACTATACATCACGTGAAGCTCGCGGTTCCGTCCGTCCGTCCGTCCGTCCTTTCGACGGGCTCGAGAAGTATAGTGCGCTTAAAATGTCGGTTATGATAAATTGACATTAATCAATATTACCGATTTGCTCAGATACAACTTTCTCAGGATGGGCTATACGGCATATACGCTGTCTCACTGACCAAAACCAAAACGTGGTGGCTTTAGTCTCTCATCTATCTAGATTTTAGGTTTCCTAGTTGCGTTCCAAAACAAATCAAGCCTTCACTTAAATTCATTACAGGTACTAGCCGCCTTAGTGGAGAACACTACCTTTACGGATGAGCTCAGATTGTCTGTTATATATAATGGGTCGGTAGATAAGCTACGAAAGTTCATTATCCTGTACATCTTAAAGCGACAAATGCTTCCAACTAAATTATTATATTAAACCTTCCTAACATCTGATAGCGGTCTACATTTCCCGCCGGGCTGCATACATATCTCGTCTACGCTGGTGCTGAGACTCTTGCTGTCTAGTATGACGTAAACGCGGAGATTGCTGTCGCTGTCGCTGCGATGATCGTCGCTTCTGGTAAATTTTTTGGCCTGAGCTCGTCTTGCGTTCTTCAATCGAATCTTGTTCGTAAAGAACAACTGGCGATGTTTCTCTCCGATTACGCCTTCTACTCGAAACACCATCAGAAGAAGCCTTGTCGTAACGTACCCGCTCATTTTTATTTAGTCGTGTATGATATCGAAGTCCCCCACGGGTGTCGGAACTTATAGGATATGCATCAACTGTAAGTCGATGGCGCGAAGCAATTGTGTTGTTATCCGACAAGATTGCGGTGCCACTAAGTGAATTTTCCAGCCCGCTCATCGTAGGTGAGTATTGATACTGGCCTTCTACCCACAAGTCCGGTCTGATGTCTGTGTCTAGAGTGCTAAGCTGTGGAGGAGCCTGATGGGTCAACGAGCTCACAATGAAAGGAATATCGGGATCATCAGATATTCGCCGTCGATTCCTCCGGTTGTATCTCACTACGGCAAATATTGTTGCTATTGTAATGGTAACCAAGATAATACCAACGACCAAAAGCATCGTTGGCGTTGATCCTTTGTCAATTTCCTGGATTGAATTTCCTGAGCAATTATCGCAGCTGGAATCGGTATGGGGGTTGTCAACTATAGACGTGTGGCTACTTTCTGCCTGTGATCCAGATGAGGATTTTGTAGCGTCTAATGCTGCCACGCCGGAAGGAATGATGAGGACTTCCTCTGCCGAACCTGAACCTTCATAAACAATGCGAGCAGTGGTGTTGTTTGGCAGAATCTCTGACCAGTCCTTGCTGTTGTTGACCTTGACATGACCCGCACCCCTGTCATCGACGTAACTAGTCGCGTTCGAGAGAAATGACATGTCCACCGTCCTGAGTGAAGGCGAGCTCGAGCTCATTCTGTCCAGTAAGTCAATTCCCTGTTCTCGTCTTTGTGGTCTTTGCGGCCTCTCCACGTTCGCCGCTAGTGGGCGTGATGTATTTACACCTGCCGCTTCTGGCGCAGATCTATATCAGTAGAGGCAGTTCGACGCTGCCTCGCCCAATGTCTCATTTTCAGGAACCTGATTCGTGGACTGCGAAAGTGCACATCGCTGGCATACAAATGTGCAAAGCCAGATCCTAAAGCAGATGCTAGGAAAGCTAGTCGGGAAGAGCGGGTTCAAGATTTGCTGATAGTCTTAGTAGATGATACCATCAAGACAGAAACTGGAACATGATCCGGATCTAAATATGAAGCAAAAGTTGGAGAATAAACTATTTTTCGGCACTAAAGGTCAGTTATAACAAAAAGATGCCTGTGATTGTAACTTACGTGCCTCCTGCGCTACAATTTGTAAGTGCCCCAAATTTCCTATTTTGTACACGATAAGCTAATACATCCCTGTTCAAATCAGATGTGAATAAAAATACGTAAGTGTAATTTTGATAGTATTAACATGCAATATTTGGGTCTTAGCCATTAGTTATCCATGAGAGCTTTCAAGTCAATGTAAGATAAAAAACATTCACCGTTTATTCCTGCACGGTCGTAGAGAGGAGTTGGGAGTTGGGGTCCCACCCGATTTACTCATACGTTAGATTTGTTTATTAGCTGATATGTCTTTGTTAATATCTTTCAAGTTGCATCAGTTTCCATTGCAGATAGCTTATAATTATCATGTAGAGTTGCAAAATGATAATGGGGGGGAATGTTGCTCTAGCTAAAATTATTTTTCGTGTAACAAAATGACTTTTGTTTGGCACAGTATCATCCAATTTTAGTGGTAATATGAGAACAGCGCCATAAATCGATAGGTTCACAAAGCGTGATCAGAACATATCAAGCTTGTTAGCTGTATCGTAAACTTAAAGTATGCAAAAATGGCATGTATCGTCACAGTGGTTCTATGACAGAATAAAGTAATAGTTTCTACATGCAGGAAGCTCAGGCTGAGCTTATAACGGCACGAATAATATACGATGGGTTGTGGATCGACACACTTTTTAGTAGGAACGTAGCTATTTGAGGAAAACCCATACCAGCTGTCCGAGACGACAATTTCCGCAATTCTTCGTTACAGCCTTCTGGCATTTTACTACTACTGAAACACATCATTTTCACCATCAACCAGAATATTCGCTGATGGTAGCTCCAACACTAATGCCTTTGCGTCATTTTTCTTGATCAATAAGGGAAGCAGCTTTGGTTGGTTTGGATCACTCAGGTCGGCAATCTACATTTGACATCCACAGCAAGATAAGTGATGCAAAAGGGCTGTCATGCACCTCGCAAAGAGGAAGTCTTGACTCTACGTGTAACAGTCTATCTATATTTTTTTATTACGGTGTAGACACCCATCATACCTTTGTGCAATTGCGCAAAAAGCACATTCAACTTTTGAGCAAAACTCAAAGGTGGTGTTAATAAAGACGACGAGTCTCCATAATGATACGTTCCTATACACGTGGGCTGTTAGTCTCAGGTCATGCAATATTTATAGCTATACTATTGAACTTTGTGAAATAGATGTACTGATTTTATCTCATTTTAGTCTTAATTCTCATGACAAATTTGAAAAAAACAAAGTTTCTCGAAAGTATCTCGATTCTACTTCTGGGTTGAGCTTCCGTGCGTTTCTAAATATAGACTCTTGAGTCGAGCTTTTTTTATTTTGCAAGGTGCACGACGATCCGTTGCAACTGGTAGCACTAGTCGTCAATTGGCATCCGAGTTTGGCGAAACTGTATCCTCTGTGAGAATTTAACACGAGCTGTTCGGTATTCTGTGGGGGACATTTAGCCAGGGTTGGTAAGATCATGTCTATTATAGGTCCAACTTGTTGGCTGCCCAACCAGTGCAAGTGAAAAATTCTCGACCGGTGGCATTGACT